AAAATTAGTTAGCATAAATCAGTTAAATGACGAAAAATTAGGTGTCAATTTATTTGTGACCACTCAGTGTATATGCTGTTTAAAATACAAAGACCAGAATGTCGTGCTCTAAAGATGTCATTTTTTCAAATATAATTTATCATATCTCCAGTTTTTCTTTGTATTAGTGTAAAATATTTTGTCTAAAATATTCAAGTGAAAGTGACTTCAATTTGGTAACATTTCCAACTGCGTGGCCCCATTATTACCGCAGTCTTCTAATAATGTATTTTGTTATCTCAGGATGAGTTGATGAACACAGTAGGAACTGTTTTTATTTTCATGGAATATTCACATTTCTTATAGCTGTCAGGATCTTGAGTAGAAGATTTTAGCACAATTCTATTCATCAACCTTTTATCACCTTACTTGATGTTTCTATTTCTGTTAAATATTTTGATTGACGGTTGTACATTGATTCTTAAATTGCTTGTGACACCGGCACACAACATGTATAAGTATATTTTAATGAGGCTGTAGATAGTTATGCATGGGGGCCTGGGATCATGCAGAAAACATCTGTAAGTGTGTGTGTAGGAGTGTAACTCTGAACACATCTGTAAGTGTGTGTGTAGGAGTGTATCTCTGAACACATCTGTAAGTGTGTGTGTAGGAGTGTAACTCTGAATACATCTGTAAGTGTGTGTGTAGGAGTGTAACTCTCAACACATCTGTGTGTGTGTAGGAGTGTAACTCTGAACACATCTGTAAGTGTGTGTGTGTAGGAGTGTAACCCTGAACACATCTGTAAGTGTGTGTATGTAGGAGTGTAACTCTGAACACATCTGTAAGTGTGTGTATGTAGGAGTGTAACTCTGAACACATCTGTAAGTGTGTGTATGTAGGAGTGTAACTCTGAACACATCTGTAAGTGTGTGTGTGTGTGTGTGTATGTAGGAGTGTAACTTTGAACACATCTGTAAGTGTGTGTGTAGGAGTGTAACTCTGAACAAATCTGTAAGTGTGTGTGAAGGAGTGTAACTCTGAATACATCTGTAAGTGTGTGTGTAGGAGTGTAACTCCGCTGCCGTAACTTAATATGAAATATTCGACCACTACTTCTAGATTTTCTCTATCGAGAAAAAAAAGAAACCTTGAAAAGTTGTCAACTTTTAATTGATATTTGTACAGTAATAATTAATACGGCGTGGCCTAATAAAATCCTATTAGGATACAGATCGAAAAGTTAAGGCTTCTCGCAGATATGGAAACGTTATAAAATTGATAGTTACATTATTCACTTGAAAGAAACAGACAAAGCCATTATGGTGTCATATGCCGATGACTGGATGCTGGCCTCTGCTCAGTAGTATAAAATTAGAAACGGCTACATTAGAACCTTAGAAGTCTCTCACCTGGTCGTCTGGTGAGCATAAGATGCCGTTCAGTGTTTAATATTCAGCTAGTGTTAGTTTGACTACTAATACACGATATAAATCTTATGGCAATTAATACTTTATTAGTAGTGATTGGTGATTATTTACTAATGATTTATATTTGTCTATGAGTAGTTGATATTCTCTTCGCATCGCTGTCTTGGGCTCATAATTATAGATCTGTTAATTTTTTTGTATAAGATAAGTCAATATTTCAATACATTTTCACTATCCTATTTTACAAAACTGGGTATATATATATTTTTGCTTCCATATTCAAAAGATATATCTGAAACATCCTCTGAAAAAGTACAAACATTGTTAAGGTGAAGACCAATCTGAAACTTACACTGTAATTAAATATACATTTTATACTCTCTGACTAATTTATACAATTACTCCAATTCAACACTTATGATGATCTCAGAACTCTGTAATTAACAAAGACCTTTAAAGATATTAAGTCAAACTTAAGAAATATGTTGTAGTTTTAGTTTCACTTCAAGCATATAGTTAAACCTGCTTAAGTTCAACCATTTTGCATATAAAACAAAGTACTTTTGAGGTACAGTCAAGAGATTGTTTGGTTATTATGTGAATTTGTATAATGAACACAGATTTGTACTTTTTCCACAATTTCTTTTATTAAGAGGCAGTACTTAGATTAGCATATAGTACGTAATTACATAAATTTGGTATATTCCGATTAGGTCTTAAAATTAGTTTTAGTGTTAGCATGAATAATATGAAAATAAATGTAATTTCTACAGGTTTAGAATTAATTTCGTACAAATACATCATAAGCTAAAAAGAACAATAGGTATAACATTCTTAGGAGAGTCACATCAAAACTTAATATTTTAGTTTAGATCTATTTATAATGTTTTAGAGATGAAAAGCTACATGATGGGTTATTTGCGCTCTCTCCACCACTTGTAATCGACCCTTGGCCTTTAGCATTATAACCCCTTAAACTTGTCGCCGAGTCACTGGAGAACCATGAGTTTTTTTTAATGCCTAGCTTTCGAGTATGATGGTGAAATCCTAAACATTTTGCAATACAAGCTTTACCTCAGATTTTATCCTATGTCCAAGATATCACACAAAAAACTATATCCACATAGCACAAGTTAGCAGAGATTACTTAAAAACTGTATTGACACATCAACATAATAGCGTACAAATCATTAAAAAATTTAGAGAACATAGGAAACCAGACTACTTCCGATATTCCGAGCTTGACATTCTCAAGCGACGAACAGGATGTGGCACAGCTGGATTCCTGCGAAATTATAACGATAGATACCGGGTTTCGATACCCTGGTGGGCAGAGCACAGATAGCCCATTGTGTAGCTTTGTGCTTAACTTCAAACAAAATCTCAAACAACGAAATAAAACCGTTCTCAGTTCACCATGTATAAATGATATCTATAATGACCTGAAAACGGTTTTTATTCCATCCCTTGGGAATAACAAGCTTGGTCTGCGAAACTAGTCGGGTTTTTATGTTTTGATAATTCTCCAATTATTAGTGCATTATTATGCTGGTGTTTTATTGTTATTATTATTGATGAATTTATATAAAGTACTGCTCTTTCTTTAAATACAGATTACTTGTCATGTAGAAATATGGAAACACAAATCATTTTATTTACTGTTATGGATTAAATTCACATAGTTATGCAGATTATTCTCGTATACGAGGTGTTATTTTCATCCGCAGTCCTTCTTTTGGCCGAATCACCATTTCTGCAATCAGCTGTATCTTGTCTCTTGGATCTAATGATGTCACGTTGAAGTTACGGAAGATATCTGCTATTATAACTTTTTCTTCCATCAATGCATACCTTTGGCCTATAAATATTTTCAGAAAGCACAGGCTATGTATACCGAGCAGTACTTTTAAACGTGAAGGAGTAACATAAAAGTTTTTATTTAAACCAACGTTCAGTTTAACAGTTTTTAAGACTAGAATATATATTTCTGTTAGAAGCTCTAATTAATCAGTTTTGTTCTTACAAAAGTAAAAAAAAGGAATACTTTTCATCTCTAAGTCAAGATACATTCATATAACGTGAATTGAATTATTTTATAGTTAAAATTGGTTTCAAGCAAACTATTATATGACTTTGCTGTTTATATGATTAGAAAATGTATTTTTAAGCTGGATTATCGTTTTCTCAACAAACGCACATCAGCTATATTTAGAAATAGGAACTTCAGTGTTATAAAATAATGTATTATTTAGGATTGATTACATCATAGAACTTTTTAAACTTTAAGTTAAAAAGCTAAAATCTATAACACCTTAACTAAATCAACACACATATTATCTGAGCATTAATACAGATATATTTGAGTCGTAATTTAAATTTAGAACTTTAATAATAAATTGAATAGCAATAACTAGTTTCATTTGATTAATTCCAAGTACTTATTTATATCGAATATAACAGATATTTTAAATGAGTTTTAGTAAATTATGTATATATATAAGATGTACAATCATATCTAACAATTATTAGAAAAACTATTGTATAACACGTCTAAAAATGACGGGGTAAGTACTACCACCACACCCCATAGTATACCCTAACCTCACATTTCATAGCTAATTGAAATATATAAATCAAGTTTGACCAAAGAGGCAGAAAAGTGCAGTCGAGGCAGGTAAATTCCCTCGTGAATCAATCAAAATTAAAATAATTCATGAAATGAATTCGTGGCGTATTCATAGAATAATTATGGGTAAGGATCGGTTAGATTAATAACTTTTAATATACAGAAAAACCAGTGCGTTTTGGTAACACTACGTTCCAACAGTGGCTTTTATGTCATGTTACTTAGCAACAAAAGTATAACATAATATTGCTGTTAGTCTATGTACTGAAAGTATAAAATGAAATGTAGACAACAAAACTGGAAACATATTTGTAGATTTCTTAATTTAGAGTCTCCATTGATTAAAGAGGTTTTTTTTTTATTAAAAACGTTGGTGATATAACAGAAAATACCTTAATTCAGAAACGATTTAAGTTTAAAATTGAATCAATATTTTTACTTTCATGCTAAATTTTATGCATTTGGCTCTAGGATAGGTGATCCCACACGACATCTTTACTTTAGGCTTATTATACCAAAACTCACTACACTTATACGTTTCATGCTCTCCTCCGTCACTAAAATCGTAATGGACAGACAGTAATCGAATTATTATATCTGAATAAATTCATTTTGGATTTTATGACTCCTCTTATTTCAAGAAATAAAGCGTGGCGTGACCCACACTGGCTTTTATATTGGTTAGATATTGTCTTGCTTAATTTTACTACATTAGTTCCCATTAATATACAATATTCATTATTGTTGTTAAACTTGTATTAAGGTCCTACTTCTTTTCCATTTTTAATGAATGTAAAAATCCCTGGAACATAGGAAATATCTGTGAATCATTTGTTAATCAAAACAAAAGGTCATCTTAGCCGGTTTGCGCTAAACAATTTTGTACAGAATGTATTGCTGAAAGCTTGGAAGTATTTGGCGTTTTATTAATACGAGAGTCAGAGGAAAATATATATGGAACTATTAGACCCAGTCGGACTAAAAGCTGGATCAGAAATGTTCTTGTACTCTACAAATATACAATTTGAGCGTTATAATAACGATTTGTAATCATTTTTGGACGGACACCTTTTGCGCATGACCCAAAAATACGAATGTTCTTAAGTCCTAAAATGGTGGGACCCGGCAAATGTCTAAATGTGATAAAGGATAAAAGAAATTATTACATTTATGCAATCTAGATTAACAACAACAACAACAAAACACACTAAATATTTTAAATATAAGTGATTTTTTTTTACCAATACAGTTTCTGGGACCCGCTGAGAAAGGAACGTAAGCGTAGGGATGGCGCCCTGCTACGTTTTCTGGTAGGAAACGGTCAGGATCATAAACTTCCGGATTTGGAAATATTTCAGGATCTCTATGAAGCATAAAAATAAGCAGGAAGCAAGATGTCCCTTTCGGTATATGGTAGCCATCTGGTGAACGAAACCCAAACTGAATAAATATATATATATAATTAGATGCTGTTACAGATGCTTACTATGATTGGAAAAAAGTCATCAAATTATCGAATATATAAATGGTATACTTTTTCGCACTAGAGTATAACAAAATTATCCTATGAGTATGTTTTAAAATACTTTCATTAAATATTGTTAGAATGAAACAATATAATCCCATATTCACAATACCTCGTAATTTCATTTCTATTATTTATTTGATTTAATTTCTCTTTATTAATTTTGCATATGTTGAATCATTCACACTAATTCTTTACATTTTATTTTCTATTTAATTCTCAGTACATATATAAACTTAGGTGAATTTTCTTTATCAGAAGTGATACTAATGATATTACGACATTAATGATTGCTTTTCTAAACAGAAGGTGGCGCAACTAAATTACACAGTTGTATTTTTAACGAAGTTTTGGTGTTATTAAAAACATTAATGTTGAATAGTTTCTTTAGTAGTGATAATTGCATTTAATTTTTTTATATGTTAGTTACAGACTTTAAGAAAAAGAACTGTTGAAGTAAAAAAAATATTATTGATTCAATTAATGCTCGAACGATGATGTATGTTATTTGCAGAAAAATAACTCCATGTGAAGATACTATAAAACCAAATTCTAATAAATAAGCATATAAATCAATTAAATAAACGTGGATAAACAAATCATTCAGTTAATTTAGAATGATATAAACTTAGTCAAACCATAACTATATATTTATATCTATATAACTGACACTAGATGGTGCTAAAATAAAATATGTAACAATCAAAACATTCAGACACTCGAGCGATTTCAAATAGTTGGCTATTCGGTTTCTCACATATGCCACCGTATTTTATGCATTTGAAATTCATGAACTCGTGTTAAAAACCAATATATAATAATGTATTACTTACGTATTTAATAGTTCATTATCATTGAAATTTTGTTGAAGTTTTACACTTAGAGTCTATTAAGTCACATAAGGCATTATTAAAAATACGAATTGGTCATATGTTATTTATTTATTTATAGATATTTACTTCAAAAATGTAAAGTTAAATATAAGTTTGTTCTTCTGAAATCAATTGTCTCATTGACAACCATGGAAAACCATTTATTTCGTTTACTATGTTCTTTCTAATTTTATTTTTAAGGATCATTAGAACACAAAGCATGCTTCCTCCCGCCCTGCTGTATACTTTTTGTTAGTTCCTTGAACATTTGCCACTTAGAATAGCTTTTCTAATTTAGAACAGATTTCCGATGCCTGGTTCCTTTAACATTTTTCTGTCGCCTTTCTCCAATTACAAAATCCATCGGAAATTCGCTAAGACACCTTCAGAATTCATTGATTAGGTTATCATATTGTGTCGCCGCACCATTACACTAGGGTGACAGAAAATATTGTTATTGTACTGAAGCATTTCCACTTCTAGAACCATTCAGCCTTAAATGCTGAGAGTATGGCAGAGAAGTAAAGGGACCATTTCCAGATTTGCGACCGTTACAGAAGAAGACGAATTATCTACATCAGATTCAGAGGCAGAGGGTCCCCCAACTATTTTTGGCTCTGAACCTTGTAATTCTAAGTTATTGACTGATAAATTTGACTCTAACGAAAAGGGACGGCTACATCGTCCGAATGACTTGATGAACCACAGATTTCAAGTTCAGTGCGAAGATTTGCACTTAATTTAAAAAAATAACGTAAATCAATCCTTATACTCTTTTACATGCTTCCATCAGTAATGGGATACAAATACGATTACATAGGAATGTATTCATAAATACATTCATGAATACTTTGTCAGGTAATATACAATAATGATAAAACAGCAGACGATAGGATTTCAATACTGACCTGGTTTAACCCTCTGGCCACAGGCGTCCTTTACTGCGCATGTCACGATGTTTTTAGTAAGTTTCATTCAAAGTTGAATTAAGCTACTTTTTGTTCATGTTATACCAATTAGTATGGCATAAACTCGTAGCTAATAATCCATATTCTAATATATGCAAGTTTAAAGTTCTGGATTTTTTAAGGCAATATATATAAAATCCTGAATTTTCCCTAGTGTGAGAAATGTTACTTTTTTTTTCTAGGCATCCCATCTTCTCTAATATATTTACCACCCCTCCAAGAAGTACGAACTTTAAAGTAAATTATTCATTATAATGTTGTCATCGCTCAGGCAAAGTATAATTTTCATAGCCTTCTATTTTGTTTGGTTACATAGCCATAAAATAGAAAATCGAACTCCTCTTGCCACACCCACCTGTCACATCCTCTCTTTCACGATTTGTCAATAATATTCTCTAACGTTCAATTCTATATTATTTTTAATCAATAAAAAGCCAAGATTTTCAGCTATTAAATGATGTATTATATTAGGTTGTTTTCTCTACAGAAAAGTGTTAATTTATCTTTCAGTACAGACTTCGTACCCTCAGGAAAGTTCCCGTCGGAACGAAGATTGTTCTGAAAGAGAAATTAATGTGCTGCTGATGTAATAATGACGGTCTAGAAATTTTATTAGTACAAAAGTTGACGTTTACTCTTACGATATTAAGTATTATCTAAGTAATTCAGCGAATACGAATACTTAAATTTTCCCTATTATATTATTCGAATACAAGTGCGAATACTCCAAAAGCTGTCTTTAATTTTAACTTCTCGTATTTAGTTAACTTCAAAATTATAATTTGATATTAATAATTTAATTGAAGCAGTCAAACGAACGAGGAAGCTACAGTTTTTCCACGTGAACATATGTTTCACGTTAGTTGGACGAATTAGTTATATATACTGTACTAACTGGAATAATAATATGCACCTGGAAGCGATAAGGTGAATGCATACCTGAGTTAGTGAGTATATTTATATACTCATATATTTGATCAACATAAAAAAGATCCCCCCCTTTCCAGCTCATCTGCCTATCCTCACAAGATTTTATAGATACGATGCAACTACAACATGATTAATTTTATACACATGATATTTGATAACACAAATAAAGCACACTTTTACTGAAATAGAATTACTGGTAAAGAAAACTTACTTAAACAGTTGAATCTATTTTCTACTTGACAATAAAATCATACAGAGCACTTACTGACGACGAAATCTTCTTTCAAAACCCTTCCAATGAAAGGAACTGAAGGGAAAAGACGGAGACTTTCCTGAGTATAAACGAGAGGAAGGTAAGATCAACTTTGTAAGTTAGTTTGTGTGGGAAAAGACACAAACGTAAAATACAACTAGCTTTATGATAAATAAAAACGATAAACACATTTTACATCATATATACTGAAAACAAAAAACACCAATACAAACGATAAATAATGAAGGGCACCATTAGGAGGTAACTTAAGACATTTTTATAATAGAAATCTATATCTATGTTAAAAGAACGTGGAGTAAGAACTTTGATACATCGCTCTTGGTTGGACGAATATATTACGTTAGGTTTGAATTGTTATAAACAAAACCTTAACTTTTAATAATGTTAAAATACTTTCTCAAAAATGTTAGGTTTCATAATAATAACAGTTATAAACGGTTACAATAACAATATAAGGAAGACACCAATGTGCTAATCCTACATTATGTGATGAACTATTTATTTTTATTAAGAGTCGAGCGACTTGAAAAACTATACATATTTGAAGAGTGTGAGTAAAGTTATTATATCTATTCGATGATAAGCAAACAACTGAGGCATGGACATCTCAGGCCACACTAAAATCGCAGGGGGAGAGGAGAAAATCATATTACATTTTGACAAAATATTGTGACATTCAGAAGGCAACTGCTTTCTCACCGCCCCCTAGTGGCACAGTGGTATGTCTGCGGACTTACACTGCTAGAAACCGGGTTTCGATACATAATAATACAGATAGCCCTTTGTGTAGCTTTGTGCTTAATAACAAACAACAACAGCTTTCTCACCATTCCTAAAAATACTAATCTAGAAGAGAACAAGAATTAAGTGTTTCAAAATAAAAAATAAACTAAAGTTATATGAGCAGAACTATATCCAAAGGAGAAAAAAAAAACAATAACTAAGAAGCTCTATAGTAAAGTATAGAACTGGAGCAGTCTTAGGTCAGTACACGTACAAACAAGCACAGATGTCATCCAGCAGTAAATACGAAGGGGGCTAAACGTAGGCGTTCTTAATATTCTTAGCTTAATTTTACTGAACAAAGAAATACATTTATCCATTTGGAGGGTAGAAGCAGGGTGTAAGAAGTGGCTTTATGTATGGAAAGTGTATATTTAAAAACGCCCAAATAATCCAAAAATAACAGTAAAACTTTATTGTGAATTATACCATAGTTTCATATATATTCATGCAGATGTATTACACTATATAATAACAGATACGCTTAACTTCTCGGGAATCATCCAACATCTCACTTTAGGGGTTAAAATGCTAAAATTATTGTCCTTAAATATGGTAAAAAGTGTTGCTTATTTAGCATTTTCACTCAAAGCTACACCAGGGTTATCTATAATTAGCCGTTCCTGATTTTGAACTCATAGATTACAGGGAAGGTAGCTAGTCAACAGCACCAGCAGCCAACTCTTAAGACACTTTGACTGACCAAATAGTGATCTATAATTAGCCGTTCCTGATTTTGAACTCATAGATTACAGGGAAGGTAGCTAGTCAACAGCACCAGCAGCCAACTCTTAAGACACTTTGACTGACCAAATAGTGAGATTTGACAGTCATTCTCGTTGTGCAACTATGGACCTAAGTTGTAGAGCGCGATTTTGGAGAAACGGGACGCAAATTACGAATCCTCGGATTTACACTCTGTACACACTAATCACTAGAAAACACCCGATCCAGGGAGAAATCAATGGATAATCATGGCATTTATGAATTTTAAAATAAAAAAAAACAAATGTAAATAAGCACTAAGTAATTCTCAAATCAAATTTTAAGGAATGCATGTATGAAGGATAACTTGCAAATGTAGAATTTTTTAAAATTTAAAAATTACATAACAATTATGAACATATTTTAAATGACTTGTTCATGTATTTTTGCTCTGAAGATTCATTTTACTTAATACTCCTTTTACTATGTTTCTCTATGTTCACGTAAAGGTTGAACATTCAGTGTTGTAAATATATATATTTA